TTACAGTGATTGCAGTTGAAGTACTAACTGAAACACAGCCTGGAGGTAACTTTTCTAAAAAAAAATTTTATATTTTTATATACCTTCTTCTTCATTTTATGGAGCTTGAGCACCTACATTACCACCTTTGCCACCTAACATCATATTTTTCATTTAATCTTTAATACTTTAAGGTTAGGATTATTATTGTGCTTTAGGTTTTTAACCTTAAGCTCCCTTTGGAGTGAATTCACCTGCAAAATCAAAAACACATTATGTTTAATATTATTTATGGTCTCCTGCTGCAATTCCAACTAAGAAGAAGTCAGGACTAAAACAGTTTTTTCTATGACCTCTTGTTCCTACTCCATCATCAATTAGTAATTAAATGATGACATCTTAACCACTCTTTTGGCCATAACTGATATTTTCTCCTATTTTGCCGTTCCATTCTCCATACCTTTCAATTCTGTCAGATAGAGATGATCCATCAGTACCAGTATGACCACATACACCTTTTGGACCTGTATCATTAACATGATCAATACAAGCTTACTCTAATCCCTTATCATAAGTTAATGGTTATAAAGGCTATTGTTTTTATAAAAATGCAATTAATTCTAAATAATTATTCGTTATTTATACCTTGGATAACTTTAGTACCCTCATTTGTTTATAATGGAATCTCCCCAGGTTTATGAAGTACGCTACCTTTGAATAACTTCATCAGTTCTTATAACTTAGGTATGGGGAGGGTTGGATTTTATCTAACTTGATTCAAATAATCAAAAGCATCTTTGACAATTTTGTCATCAGGATCTTTAGATTATGCTTTAGCAGGAGCTCCTTAATCTCTTTATTGCATAGGGGCACTTTAACCTCCTTCCTTTTATGGAGCTCCACCTTATTATTAATTTCCACCATTAGTATCTAATCCAGCATTGTCTTAGAATGCTCCCGCAAAATCAAAAACACATTAAGTTTTGAATTATTTATGTTCTCCATCGAAAATACCTACTGCTCCAAATTCTGCTTTAAAACAATTTTTTCTATGTCCTCTTGATGATACTCCATCATCAATAATCAATTAGATGATGACTATATTAATAAAATAGATATTAATACCATCTTCTCCAGTTGTTTGACCATAACTGATATTTTCTCCTATTGTAACATCCCATTCACCATATCTTTCAATTCTATCACTCATTGATGATCCATCTGTACCAGTATGGCCTGTAACACCTTTTGGTCCTGTATCTTTTACATGATCTCTTGCTGCACATTCTAAACCCTTACTCCAAGTTAATGGACCTACAGGCTTTTGATTCTATAAGAATGAAATGCACTCTGAAATAAATATAGGATAAAATATTAACCATTAACAACTTTAGGGCCTTCATTAGTTTGTAAAGGAATTTCTCCTGGTTTGTATACAACATTTCCTTTAAACAATTTGAGATGTTCTTATAACTTAGGGATAGCAATCTATGGATTTTATCTGAGTTTATTAAGATATTCGAATGCTTCTTTCGAAATTTTGCTCATTAAATAAATAAATATTTACAACGTGCAAAAATATATGAGTTAAGTTAAATCACATTAAATATACTAATTTAAAAGATTATACAAAAACAAATCAATTCTGTTTAGTTTTCTTCTTTTTTTATTATTCTTCCGTTGTATTTAATTTCCTTATGATCCACATTATACCTACTCCAATAGACAAAAACGCAAGTATTAAGAATAGAATATCTGAAAAATTGGCTTTTTGTAATTTTGGTTGATAATCATGTAATGTTCTATGTTTCCCTTTTGTCTACTAGGCAGCAATCTTTAAGTATTCTAGATCTAAATCATCATAATCATCATCTCTCTCTCTCTCTAATTATTTTTTTTTATTTGAATCTTCAGCTAATGCAGATTCAAAATCCTATAATTTTTACATAATTATGATACTTCTATGTATTTCCACACTGTATTCTCCAAATCACTAATTTCTCTTTCCCAAGAACCGTTTCTGAATTAATTGAAATCTATCTCAGAAAACAATACAGGCAATCTTGAATGATCAAACTCCTCTGATCTCACTTATAATAGCACTTAAACACTTTCATCATAGGTGAGCTATTTGGAACATGAAATTGCATGAGTTGTATATAATTTAATCCAAACATTTTATTGTTCAACCTTAGATGCTTAACTAGTATTAATAATAAATACTTACTTATCTACAATTTCAACAAGTTCACTTCCATAATTTCCCAAATGCATTCTAGCTAAAATAATACATGTATAATAAATTGTATCTCTTTCTTTCTTTAATTTCTATTCCTACAATTACCTTAGTTGCTCTTCAGGAGAGATCTCTTAAATTGTTTCAATACCATCCTATTGAATAACATCATCTTGACATTTTGCTAAAGCAAAGAGAAAAATAATTGGAATTAACATTAATTAATTAAACGTGTAAAATTAATATCAAAAATCAATTAAAGTTTAATGAATTTATTTATTTATTTCTGCAGCTTTATATTATTCCAAAAATTTAGTATAATCATCATCCTTTATTGGAATTTCATCAATTTATATGAAAAAGTAATCCTCATTCACTTCTGGTTACCAATTAGTTAAAATTCTTACAACTTCATCTAAATTACTCATCTAAAATATAATGTTAATTCTTACTTTTAATTCTATTTAGAAATATTTCAAATAACAAATACCTACTTTAAATAAGTAGATTTCTCCTTCCAATAAAAAATTATCCCATAACCTTGAAAGCATTGGAAATTTAAATTAATGTAAAAATATTTTTAAGAACCATTTCATTAAATAAAATTTAGTTTCTAATTTAATAGCTTTAAGATGATTATATACAAAAGGTAAAATTCTTTTTAAATTCTCTTCAAAAAATTTTATTCTTTATTCGATTTGTCTAGTATCATTTTAAAAAACACTTAAGAAATGATATTAATGAAGAAGATTGACCAAGGCTTAAAAACAATCATATTCTTATAAATGCTTGATAAGAACTACAGCAATATCAATTAAATCTGATATATATCCATAATCTGGTCTTTAATAACTAAAAGCATGTAAAATATTTGACAATTCTTTAGCTTTGACATCAGTAATGAAAGGATATTATTGTTTAGCTCTTTCAATATCTACTCTAATAGCTAAAAATAATGATGATAATTATACCTTCTTCAATAACTGTAGTTTTTCTAACAAGTATAGTATATAGTTCTTATCTGATCTTAAGATTATTACCAATAATAATAGGCCATAGAGTTCTTCTTGCAAAATCAGGCAATCCAAGTTTCCATAAGATCATTAATAGAACTGATTTATTTTTCTTTCCTTCTACCATCATTTACTATTAAATATTGCTACTATTATTGATTTCAGATTAATTACTATAATTTTAGTTTTATATTTGTTATCTATTTTAAATAGGATTTAATTAAATAGTTTTTTTAAGACAACGACATAAACTCTCTAAAACACTAGCAGAATTAGCTTGATTTTATGCTTTTTAAACAGCTTCTTCTTTTTTTATACTAATATATTTCTTATAATTTAAAGGTTTATTAGGTTCATAATCCCAATGTGAACGCCAAAAAGGTAAAATATCATTTTTCCATATTTCTGATCTCTTTTCTTCATTTTCTTATCTTCTTTATTTTTCTTCTGCTCTTTTTGCTTCCATCTCTCTACGATTAATAATAACAGCTCTTAAATAATTAATCCATTTTGATTTAATTTACAAATCATTTACTTTGATATCAACTGATCTATGTATTGTAATGATTGAAAAACAAAACATATCAAATTCTGGAGGTATATTATTCTTAATCATAATTCGAGTTGTATTGTGTCCCAAAGCTATATCATGCACATCACACATATTAATATATCTTGCTGGTTCATTATCATTATCTATTGATCTCCAACATATACGCCTTAAATAATTACATATATTAAATACTTTTCATCACTACTTAAGAAGAACTTCCTTGGTTATCCACCATTGTATCTTCCATATTTAACTAAATTACATCCATTCATTAAATCAAATGCTACTTACAACGATTTAGTTATTTATTCTCCTTGTAATTTCTCATTACATAGAATCATACGATTATACATCTATTCTAAATAATCTAATGTGGTTTAAAAGGGTTCTTTCTTTATCGAATCATATACCTCCTCAAAATATTTAGGTGATATATCTGGAAATACTGGAATGTTATTCTTTAAGAATTACTCCTTTGTCATCTTATTTTTTGGTAATATTTTAGTTGAACCAGCATCAGTAGATAACATTATAAATGAATAAGCTAATACATATGGTATATCATATGACTTAAATTCATTAGGATTTTATTAATGATAAACTTTTGCAAATATTTTGACTACTCTATCTACCATTTATGCTTCTCCTGCTAATCTAAATCTCTACAATAATAATCTCATAGCATCTAAATAACTTTTCCCTTTTAAATTAAGAAGTTGGCAATAAGCCTCTAATATTTCTTGGTTCTTTAGATCTGGCTTACAAAAATATTTGTTTATTGCATCCTTATTCAATCCATCTGTATTCATAAGTATTTTAGCTATATCTTAATTAGTGTTCTCAATAATATAATTATCAATCAAATATTATAATGCCTAGAAATTTAAATTATATTTATTATTACACTATTCTAATCCTTAGAAAATCTAGTTATAAACTAATCTATATGAACTCTCTATTAAACAGCTTATTCACATATTTTTATTTGTTGTATTAATGGATTATTTGGATTTTAAATTTTATCAATATTATTCTATTATTTCTCTAGTTGTTTCCTAGATATTTGCTTACTACTTTTTTATACTGGGGAATCCTCATTAACTATTATTACTTAATCTTCTTCATCATCTAACATCCTTTAGAAGTTTTTAATTTATTAATATTGCAAATTTATGTATTATGCAATTTAATATTAAATTAACAACAAAATTTGAATTAAATGCCACCAAAGATTAAACCTAAACAAATTAGATAAATGATTCAAAGTACAGCCATTCTACCACCAGGAACTGACAAAGGGTCAGATAAATCATTTGGAGAATTTTGTATTAAAATGAGTAAAGTCTAATGGATTCAAGATTCAAACCCTCATTAAGGAAATTTAGTCTATCGTCTCTGCTTTTGGGGTTAAGAAGGAGATGGATTATTAATATAAGCATTAAATTAAAATTTGCATTACCCTAATGAATTGAAGTATGATATTAGAGTACCAATTATTCAATTTCATAAATATTTGAATGAAGCTGAAAAAGTAATTATTTATCTTGTGGATTCAGAGGATAAATTTTAAATTTTTGGTTATATAATCATTAATTTTGCTAGACATTTGAATAAAGACTTATCAAAAAATTAAGTTTTTCATAATATTTCTGGATAATATCCAATATATAAATATTTTCCAGAAATGCCTGATAATAAGGAATATAAAATAGGATATCAAAATATAGAAGTAAATTCAAAATTTTTATTAATATAATAACAAATAGAATTATGTTCTTAATTAAATCAATCAAATAACATGTAATAATTATAACAAATCATGATAAAAGAATAATAATAATAATAATAATAATAATAATAATAATAATAATAATAATAATAATAATAATAATCTAATAAATAAACTTAATATCCTTAAATTAATGTTATTTTTCCAACTGAAAATGAAGCTTGGTTATAATAAAATCCAGATTAAAAATTAGCAAATGTTTTATTTGCTAATAATCCATTCCAAAAAAATATTGAAATCAATCCAAATAACCTTTATGAAAGAAATAATTATATTGATCCTGAATCTACTATAAATTAATATTAGAATGATTAAAGTAA